CAGGTCGCTACAGCGTCCACCCATCATGCAAGAAGTTTCGAGCAATAGCGCGATTCCCAAGTAAATCGCTAGGACATTCAAAGCGAGAGCGTGGTGTGTGTGTGTGTTTGTTTTGGGGGCACGGCGCCGCAGTACATCGTGAGAAAGTATTACGCGAGGTCGCGATTCTCGCATAAATTGTGAGAAGTCAAGCGCGAGAGCGCAATCTTGGAATAACTTGTAGGAAAGGATCCAGCGGGAGCCGCTGTTATTGTAAATGGCGGGCCAGGTGAGCAATTTGATGAGCACATCTTTTCTTTGATATAAAACAGGGTGTGAGCCCCAAGAGGAGCATTGATTCAACAAATGCAGTGGTCACCAGAAGTGGCAACTTATTATTATGTAAAATGGGAAGTCAGCAGTCACAACAATGACAATCATGTCAATACTGCTCGTTCCGATTGGCTCTCGTGCCATTCAAAAGCGTATACCCCATACCCTCGGTACCCGCCTTCTTCGTCTTCGTTCGTACCCCCTTTGGGGTATATCTTCCTTACCTGCCACTTGCATTTAGCGCAGCCCCTACAACACGGGAAGGGAGGACGGATGGAAGGGGGAGGAATAATGATGAAATGCACGGAAGGTTCGAACCATAACGCGATTACCAAGTAAATCGTGAGAAAGGCCAAATTGAGAAAGTGATTTTTGTTGAAATTCTGGGGCGCGGCTTCTGGATAAATTGCGAGAAAGTGCCACGCAAGACCGCGATTCTGGCATACACTGTGAGGAAGTCCCGCGCGAGAGCTCATCTGGAATAATTTGTGAGGAAGTATCCGGCGGGAGCAGCTGTTGTTGTAGCTGGGGGCCCAACGACCCAGTTTGATCAGGCAGATTCCCCCTAATGAAAACAGGGTGCGGACCTCGATGGGGGGCACTTCAATTGAAAAATAACCATGTGCACCGGTACCCGGGGATCAACATTAGTAATTCTTCAAGAATGCGACCTCAACGCCCATAATTTTGAGACTGTTCGCTACCCTCTGCTCGCGTGCCGTTCAACACGTATATCCCAAGCCGTCGGAACCCGCCTTCTTCAACTTCGATCGTACCCCCTCTGGAGTATATCTTCCTTACCCGCCACGTGCATTTAGCGCAGCCCCTACAACAGGAGAAAAGAGGACGGATGGAATGAGGGAGGGAAAAGTATGGAACACGAGAACAATTAGCAGGCAGGGGGCTAGGGACAGAAAGCGCATGGCAGAACCAGACGGGCAAATCGGGCGGGAAGACCTTCGCGGGGGGGTCGGGAAGGGGGGCCCAAGCGGCCAAGTCAAGCAGGCGGGATATTGAAGCGTGAGCCCTGCATGAATCGCGAGGAAGTCTCGAGCGATAGCGCGATGCCCAAGAAAATCTTGAGAATAGCCAGTGCGAGAGCGATTCCTGAGTGTCGAAGGCGTGGCAATTGAATACATTGCGAGGGGGCTCCATGCGAGAGCACGATTCCTGCCGATAATGTGAGGACGTCCCTTGTGAGAGCGCGATTTTGGAATAACCTGTGAGCCAGTATCAGGCAGGAGCCGTTGGTTGAATTTCAGTCTTCAGGAAGAGTATTGTTATTTGACCCCCCCCCCTGCCTGGTAACCATTGTAATTTTTAATTGTAGTGTGTTCCCTGGTCCCCCCTCAGTTTTTGTCGTAAGGGAAAGCGAGGTGTCTCCAAACTGGGGTGTCGGGACCCGAAATCCAAAACAACAAGAACAACGGATCCCGCGTGATGCTTCCTCTCAAGTTATTTGGCAATCGCGCTCTCGCGCGGGACGCCCTCACAATGTATACAGGAATGGCGCTCTCGCGTGGGACTGCCGCGCAATTGATTCAATGGCCGCGGCTCCGACACTCAGGAATCACGCTCTCGCTGTGGATTTTCTGGCGATGTATTTTGGAATTGCTCTATCGCTCGAGGCTTCCTCGCGATTCATGCAGTAGTCACGGTTCATCAACCCGCCTGCTCGACTTGGCCGCTTGGGCCCGGCTTCCCGACCCGCCCGTCAGGGTCTACCCGCCCGATCTGCCCGTCTGGTTCTGCCACGTGTTTTCTGTTCCGAGCCTCCCTCGTGTTACACCCTCTCGTGCTCCATCCGTTATATTTTCGCATGCCTTAGGTGCTGCACGAAATACACGTTGCAGGTAAGAACGATATAGACCCTCAAGGGGGTACGATCGAAGACGAAGAGGGCGCGCATCGAGGGTTTGGGGCATACGTGTTGGATGGCCCGCGAGCATATAAGAGCGAACAGTGCTAAAACGATTGGTGTTCAATTCCCACTACTAAAGAAACGGTATTGTTGATCACCCCCTCCCAGGCACATTGCGTTTCAATCACACCTGAGAAAACGCAATCAGCGCATGATTTGAAAAATGATACTATGGATGTTGGGATCGATTGTCAGATCGATAATGAGATCGATCGTGGAATCGATCGTGAGGACGAGTACAAGGTCGATCGTGGAACCGAGAGTGAAATCGATTTCAATGAGATCGATAGTGAGATCGCTTGTGAGATCGATAGTGAGATCGATTGTGAGATCGATGGTGAGATCGATAGAGAAGTGGGTAATGAGATCGATGGTGAGACCGGTCGATAAGAAGATCGACCAGGAACCCGGGAACCTAGGAACCTCGCCGCCCCGAAATCGGCCCGGAACCCGGAACCAGGAGCCTGGGAACCCAGAACCGGGAACACGGGAACCCAGCCAGCAACCCAAATCGGCGGGACCCGCCTAATTTTTCAACATCCGCCAGGACCCCTTCAGTGCAAGCACTGCTTGGGAAAGTAAAGTGCCTACCCTAGGGCTCGCACCCTATTTCTTATTAGACCAGAGAAAACCCAATCAGTGTGATTTGAACATTGATACTATGGATGTTGAGATTGATTGTGAGATCGATAATGAGATTGATCGTGGAATCGATTGTGAGGAAGATTATAAGGTCGATCGTGAGACCAAGAGTGAAATCGATTCAATGAGATCGATAGTGAGATCGATCGCGAGATCGCTCATGCGATCTCTAGTGAGATCGCTTGTGAGATCGATAGTGAGATCGACTGTGAGATCGATGGTGAGATCGATAGAGAAGTGGGTAATGAGATCGATGGTGAGACCGGTCGATAAGAAGATCGACCAGGAACCCGGGAACCCAGGAACCTCCCCGCCCTCCGAAATCTGTCCAGAACCAAGAACCGGGAACCCGGGAACCCGGAACGGGGAACCCTGGAACCCAGCGTGCAACCAAAATCGACGGGACACGTTCGCCAAATCCGTCGCATTCCGCGAGGACCCCTTCAGTGCAAGGACTGATTGGGGAATAAAGGGAAGGTCTTGGGTCCCAGTATTGGGCCCCTGGCCCCAACAACAACGGCTCCCGCGTCATACGTCCTCACAGTGTATTTCCAAATCGCGCTCTCGCGCGGGACTTCCTCGCAATTTATGGAGGAATCGCGCTCTCGCGTGGGACCTCCTCGCAATTAATTCAAACGCCGCGCTTTGTACACACTCAGGAATCACGCCCTCGCTTTGACTTGTCCCACGATTCACTTGGGAATCGCTCCATCGCTCGAGATTCGCGATTAATGCAGTAGTCACGGTTCATCAACCCGCCTGCTCGATTTGGCCGCTTGGGCCCGCCTTCCCGACCCGCCCGTCAGGGTCTACCCGCCCGGTCTGCCCGTTTGGTTCTGCCACGTGTTTTCTGCTCCTCGCCACCCTCGTGCTCACTCTCTTTCGTTCTCCATCACTCTCCCTCTCCCTTGTCCCTTTCTTCCAGCCGTCCCCTCTTCCCCTGCCGTAGGGGCTGCATGAGATACACGCTGCAGCTAAGAAAAATAGACCCCCACGGGGGTACGATCGAAGACGAAGTGGGCGGGTACCGAAAGTGCGGGATATACGTGTTGAGTGGCACGCACGCATATGAGAGCGAGCAGACTTAAAACGAGTGTTGTTTTTGATGTTGTTGCTGTTTTGAACTTCTCATGTCTGAAGAAAACATTGTCGATTTCCCCCCCCTCCAGTAACCATTACACTTTTTCAATTCAAGTGCGTTTCCTGGGCCTCGCACCTTGTTTTGAAGAAGGGAAAGCGAGGGGTCACCAAGCTGTGTTGTTGGACGGTTGGGCCCCTATTTACATCAACAGCGGTTTCCGCCTGATACGTCCTCACACATTATCCCCGAATCGCGATTTTGCACGGGAGTTCCTTCCAATTTGTATAGGAATTGCGCTCTCGCGTGGGACGTCCTCACAATTTCTTCAGGCGCCGCGCCCTCGTCGCTCAGAAATCACGCTTTCGCTGCAGACGTCCGTCTGATTGATTTAAGAGTCGCGCTATCGCTGCAGACTTCCACACGAGTCATGCAGGACGCACCCTTGAGCAACACGCCTGTTCCTTGCCTTTTCCTTCCATCCGTGCTGTCTTCCCCTGGTCTTAGGGGCTGCACGAAATACACGTTGCAGGTAAGAAAGGTATAGACCCCCAAGGGTGCACAATCGCAGACGAAGAGGGCGGGCATCGAGGTTCGGGATACACGTGTTGAGTGACCCGCGAGCAGATAAGAGCGGACAGTCTCATGTGACTGTTGTTGTTGTTGTTGCTTTGGTTGTTGTTGTCATCGTTGGTGTTGCTGCTGTTTTTGCGGTTGGTAGTGATGTTGTTGTTGTTGTTGTTGTGGTTGTTGTTATTGATGTTATTGTTGTTGATGTTATTGTTGTTAGTGTTGTGTTTGTTGTTGTTGTCGTTCTTGTTGTCCTTGGTGTTGTCGTCCCTGTCGTCGTCGTTCCGCAACCCACCTGCGCCTCGTTTCGCCGGCGACCCCCCCGCGCCGCGACCCACCCGCGCCGCGACCCACCCGCGCCGCGGCTCTTCCGCGACCCGTCCCTCCGTTCCGCACATGCGGGGCCTTGTGGCTGTTCTCTTTTCTCCGCGCGATGGGGGCCTGCGCGACAGCCCCCCCCCCGCGCGCGCCCCGCAGCTCGCCGTGCCCACGCCCGCCGGCCGCACCTACCTCGAGGTGCCCTTCCCGGAGAAGGACGAGGCCAAGGCGCTGGGCGCGAAGTGGCGGGGCTCCGGGCTCCGGGGGCCCCTGTCATCCTCGCGCCGCGAGGGCTCGAGGTTCGAGGTTTTCGGACGGTTCGTCGATTCATCGGATCATCGAGCCGTCTTTTCGACAGATCGTCGATTCATCGGTTCTCGTCGGCGCAACTGCTTTCCAGCAGTCGCGCCTCGCCGAAAGCGTGCCAGGGACGTTCAGATCTTCTCGAGCGGCCGCCAGAAAGCCGACAACCGTTTTTCCTTCTCGTGGAGAAAAGAAGGACGAGAGCGTTTTGACATTGCCTACATCCTGGGGCCCTCCGTGGACCCCAGAACCAGTAAAACGACAATTCGGGATGAACAAATGGTCCTGGGGACTTGGTCTAGACGTCCAGAGAAAACACATTTTGAAAACTGCGATTTCGGATGCCTGGGTTGGGCGGCCCCCCGCCGCCGCCGACGACGACGACGAAAACGACGACGACGACAACGATGACGACGACGACGACGACAAAGACGACGACGTCGCCGACGACGAGGATGGCTGCGATAGCGACGGCGACTGCGACGACGACGACGACGACGAGGGATTTCCTTCAGATCTGTTTGTCGCACAAAGAGATCTCGTCGGCTGTTTTTGTTTGTCGCTTTCGGCGTCTGGAGACGAGGCCGTTCCCGAGCCCCAGGACCGTCAAACAACGGTTCGAGATGATTCTTCGGCCCAGGGGAAGTGGTCGAGATCCCAATGGGGCCGACGTTACGAAAGTATTGAACTGTTGGCCCCTTTTGGGGGACGGTCCCTCCGCCGATGACGACGCCGAAGACGACGACGACAACGACGACAACGACGACGACGACGACGACCACGACGACGACGACGACGACGACCGCCCGCTTCGCCCCGAGTGGAACTCCCCCAGTTGCGCGCCGCCAGGCCAGGACCTCCTCCTCGTCGTGCTCCTCGTGCTTCTCCCGCTCCTCCTCCTCTTCCTCCTCCTCCCCCACGGGGTCTCTGGCCGTGGTCGCTGGCGACTTCCCCCCCCCTGCCGCTCGTCTCCTCCTTTCTACAATTACTCAATATGAATACCTATACGACCACCCTGCGGGTGATAAGGAGGTGAGGGGGGAGGGGGAACCAACGTCTCACTCAATCGATCTCGCTATCGATCTCACATTCGGTCTCACATTCGGTCTCACATTCGGTCTCACATCGGGACACCATCATCATCATCGACATCATCATCATCATCATCATCATCATCATCATCATCATCATCATCATCATCATCAGCGTCATCATCATCATCGGGACACCATCATCACCAACATCATCATTATCATCACCATCATCAACATCATCATCAACATCCTCGTCATCGGGACACCATCTTCATCAACATCATCAACATTATCATCATCATCACAACCATCATCATCACCATCATCACCATCATCACCATAATCATCTCACAATCGATCTGATCATCGATCTCACAATCGATCTCACTATCGATCTCACAATCGATCTCACATTCGGTCTCACTACCGATATCACAATCGATCTCGCAATCGACGTCATCATCATCAGCATCAACATCATCAACATCATCAGCATCATCATCGCCATCATCAACATCATCATCATCATCATCATTACCATCATCATCATCATCACCATCATCATCATCATCATCATAATCATCATCATCATCATCATCATCAACATCATGATCGGGACACCGACGGGACACCGACGGGACGCCGGCGGGACACCGGCGGGACACCGCGCGCCACCGGCCGCCCGGTGGAGAATCATTTGGTCCGGCCGCGCCTCAGCCACAGAGGACACCACCGGGACACCGGCGGGACACCGCGCGCCACCGGCCGCCCGGTGGAATATCATTTGGTCCGGCCGCGCCTCAGCCACAGGAGACTTTCCTCTCGCCCGCCCACGCAGCTTCGCCTCGCCCGCACGCACGGCACGCACGAACACGAAACCGAAATCGATTTCCGGGTAGGGGGGCTCTCCGTTCCACTTCGATCTCACCCCCTCACCTCCGACTACTCTCCCTCTTCCCCCGAAGGCGGCCTGAAAGTAGCCGACCCCCCCCCGCGTACTGTTTTTTTTTAACACAGGATTGATACCCGGGAGTTGGGTTTTCGCCTGCGTTTTTTTTCAACATGCTGCTCTCGCTGAGGCGCCAGCCTCATTTCTGCTCCCGAATCGTTCCGAATCTCGCTGAGGCGTGGGCCTCATTTTCGGATCGGTGTTTTGCCTCCGTCGTTCAGGACGGCGTTCTCGCCCCAGCGCGCGCGCGCCCATCCGCCCGCCACCACCGCGCCGCACCACGCCCCGCCCCGCCGCACGCACACCCACCGCCACTTCCACCCACCAACGCACGCACGCACGCACGCGCATCACCACCGCGCACCGCCACCACCACCGCACTACCCCACCCACCACCACCACGCTACACCGCGTCACACCACATCACGCGCGCGCACACACACACACACGCACGCACGCACACACACACATACACACGCACACACACGCACACACACAGACACACACACACACACCACCACCGCCACCACCACCACCGCCATCACGCACGTACGCACCTGGCCCACCACCAAACCACCAAGACGCCACACCACGTCACACCACAGCACACGCGCACACACGCACACACACACATACACACCACCACCACAACAACCACAACCACGCACACACGCACGCACGCACGCGCACCACCACCCACTACGCACACGCGCGCGGAGCCACAGGTCCGCTACGACACGCGTCCGCGGTTAGAGAAAATCAGCGCCATGGTAAGGGATGGGAGGGAGGGGTAGGACGTCAGATATGACGCGAGCGCACCTAGCTTGTACCCTCCCCCCTCTCCCCCCCCTCCCTCCTCCCCCCTTCTCCCCCCCTCCTGCCGCGCCAGCGGCCGCCCTTCCACACTCCTGGAGGGGACGTCGCACCTCCCTTCTCCTCCCCACCGCCCGGTTCTGGGGCCCTCGCCCGCAGGCCTCCTCGGCCATCGAAGGCGCTGACCTCGGTCGTACCGTCGTTCGATCGACCGATCCCCCCCGCTCCCGTCGTGCCCTTTGTGGGCCCCGGAAACGGCAGGGCCGTGAAATGTCCCTTGAAAATGGAAACGGCACTAAAACGGCGACCGGAAACGGCAAAAAAACGGCAACCAGGATTGGAACGGCACTAAAACGGCGACCAGGATTGGAACGGCAAAAAAACTGCTCCAGCAGTGGAACCGGAGCCGGAACTGGTCAAAAAACGGCGACGGAAGCGGTAAAAAAACGGCGTCGGAACCGGAAACAAAACGGCCCTGTCGTTTCCAGGGCCCCCTAAGGTCGTGCCTCCCTCCCTCCTCACGACACTACGAGCGCAACAGCACGAGCGACCTATGACGGATCCAGGCCACATTGGTGCACAGCGTGGTGGCCATCCTCTGAGCGGGCAGTCGTTTCACAAGCTTGGACAGACTATCTTCCATGCTGAGGCTACGGCCTCCGCGCCCTGCGCTACTGGACACGGGCGAGCTCCCCAGAGGATCACGCACGACTCTGGCGTTCGTCTCGCTTCGGACACGCCAAGCGAGCTTCGTTCGCTTCGCTCCGGAGTTCGCACGGCTCTCGAGCGGCGAGCGCCGCGGCTGCGCCCAGACATTGATTCTCGCTTGCTTGTGATCTGTGCCTGTGGCCGTACATTATGTAATGCAGCTGTGGTGGGTGGGGCGTCCCTCTCTCTCTCCCTGCTCGTGCCTGCTTGTGCCCGCCTCGGGGTCCCTCCCTCTTCGAGCGAATCTGCTGCCGATCGGCGAGCGCAGACAAGCCGGGGCAGGGGCGCAGACAAGCGACACTGTCGCGCATCTTCCGGCAATCGAGCATGCTGACCGACGATCGAGTATGCTGACCTCAGCGATGCCCCCCGCCGATCGAGCGATGCTGCACCTTCCCCCCGTCCTTTCAGTGAGTCTTCCTTGATGCTTTGCGCTTACATGCGCAGTCCACTTCTTTGTATTTTGCAGAGGTTACTGAAGGCCGCTGAAGCTATTCAGGGCTGCTAAAGGTCGCTAAGAGCCCGCTGAAAGCCACTCAAGCCTGCTAAGGGTCGCTAGAGGGCCACTAAAAGGCCGCTAAGAGGCCACGAGAGGCAATTGAGGCCAGCCAGTCACAGACCAGAAGCCGCCGAAGGCCACTGGATGCTACTATAAACCGACGCGGCATATGTTCAAAATGAGCGTCCGCAGAGACCCGCGCTGCCCTCCCCCGCCCCCCCCCCCTCCCATCCGCGAGCGCGGCGGGCGGGGCAGGGACCCGGACCAGCAGAAGTGGTTCGCCGAGCCCGGCGCCGGGGCGGCGGGGGTTGCCCGGTGGCTCCCGCGCCGCGCCGCGGGCGGCGCGGAGCGCAGGCCGCCGGAGGCCGCCGGCGTCGCGCAGGCGGGGCGGCCGCGCAGCCGGCGTCCGCACGGTCCCGTCGTGCGGTGGAGGCCCGGGCCCGCAAGCAGTGGCGAAGCGTCCTGCTTCGCCTATGGGTAGGGGGCCACTTGCGAACCCTACCCCTACCCTCACGATTTCTGAGGGGGAGGGTGGGGTTCACGTCGCTCGGGAGCTCTCGAACGAAGTGAACCCCACCCTCCCCTCAAAAATCGTGGGGGGTAGGGGTAGGGTTCGCATGTGGCCCCCTTAGTGAAGACCCAGACCCGCAAGCAGTGGCGAAGCGTCCTGCTTCGCCTATGGGCTCACCAAGGAATGTTCCAAGAGCCTCTTGTCGTCTGCACGCAGTTTTATTGGGACGCTGTGGGCTGAGATGGTTCTTTTTTAGCATATCGGGCTCTTGTTTGTTCTAAGACTCTAGTCTTTGTGATTAGAATATCTGTGGGTTCTGAGACACTTTCGTGGTAGGCCTATCTAGGAGTGCCAGGACGGTCGGTCCCTGCTCAAGACCCCCTCGGGTCATGCAAGGACCACGCAGGAGGTGTTTCGTATTTGTTCTTTCTTTCGGGGCCTTCGCCGGGCTCCAGGGCCATCAAACGGCGGCTCAGGACGAACAATTGGCCCGGTCTGCTCATGCGGTCAAGACCCAGACCCCGAAAGAAACGCGCAACAGATTTTTCGCCATTCTCGGCCTTTAGGGGCCTTCGCCGGGCTCTGGGGTCATCAAACAGCGGCTGGCCCCAACCCCGGGGAATTGGTCGAGACCTCTGGGGGTCGACGTCCCGAAGAAATCATGACAAATCATGTCGTCGGGGGTCTGGCTTTGCTGTGTTGAGGAAAGGCCCCGCTTTTCGGGTCGCTCCTGAGACCCAGGGCGGGGAACCGATTCAAAACCTGGGCTCGCCGTGACCACATAGCAACTCCGTGCACGCATTGCATTGTGCGTCCCGCATGGTAGCGCGAGGGCTGCAGATGTTCGGAGAGGGCCCCTCGAGAGCGCGGCGGCCCTGCCTCTCGTTATTTTGTACTTTTTGGGTGTCTCCCGGAGCCTTCTCGCTGCCACGGCCGCTTGGTGGTCTCCAAACCAGGTGGTGAGACACCCGGTGGTGACCCCGATTCCCCCAAAAAATAATTCTGGGTCACCACCGGGTTTGGGGACACGCGGTCGCCACGAGGTGTTGCGTTTCCTGGGCCAGCCAGCGCTCGAAAACCATTACCCAAATCGCCCAAAACTCACCACCGGGTGTTCTCACCACCACGTTTGGGGACAACCAAGCCGCATCCACCTCGAAAGACGGGCTGGGACCCCAGGACGGGTGCGGGGATTGATTTTGAACGGACTTGGGCTGGGCGGGAGAGCAAACCAGATCGTCGCGTCTGGTTGGCGTCGTACCGTCCACATTGACCTGAGAGAGTCGGTTCTGATGTTGGGCCGGTTTGGGCTCCTTTCGGCCCTCCCCGGGCCCTGGGAATGGGGTCAGAGGGTCGCGTCGCGTCGCCGATGTCGCCAACGCGGTGCGATCCGGTTCCGGGGTTGTCAATGACGACGACGCCGATGCGTCGGCGATGCGGCACGATCTCCCGACCACTTCTCATTACTCGGGCACTATTCGGACGGCCTGCGTCAAAGACGCGCCAAATCAGCCAGCACAGACCAGTCACGAAGCTGTGGATTTTACAACATTTGTCCTCTCGCCTGCCGCCCAGTGTGCTGCTGGCCGATGTGCGCTTCCGTGGGCGGCACTTCCGCGGTCCCATACAGTCTTTGAGCCGCGGCAACCAACCAGCACAAACCGGCCAATGTGTTGTCTGCGATGTCTCCTGCTACCTGTGTCTGCACTTGACGGGTCAGCGCACGCTCGAATTGCGCGCGGAGGAAGTCTGAGAACAGAAAACGACAGATATGCTGATATGATCGAAGACGCCTACGGCAAATCACCCAAACGTTGGGCCGAAGTCTGGCCAAGCTATTGGATTGTGTGTTCCCCCAGTCGTTGTGAAACCCCATGGCGGGAACACTTGGAAAAGGAAGAGAACAGTCGAGGAAGCTCACCCCTGCCCGCGTCATGTTATCACCCATCCGCCTGCCGCTGCGGGCGTTGGGCTCGGGGTTTTGTTGCCCCTCGGAGGAGGTGGCAGGCGCGACTGCTTTCGGAGCGCGCGTTGCGCCCTGGCCGACTGCGGAAGTGTAAGACTCACTCCTGGCAAAGGGCCGGTGGCCTGTCCGGAGCCTTCCGTGCTCGGGAGAGAACGGGGACTCCTTGCGAACACGAAGTTCGTCACCGAAGCGCGGGGTACAGTGGAGAACCCCAAGGGGGCGGAGCAAAGTGCCCGCAAGCTTCTGGCTGACAGCGCGGTGCAGTGGCATCTGTCCGATGCGGACAGAAGACGGGGACGATCAAGCATGTGACCAGAGGGAATCAATTTTGTTGATCCACGACTGTGTCGCGGTCACACTGACGGAGATGCATAATTCTGCATGATGACAGGTGGACCGGCGAGCGTGCTGTCGAACATGGTTTGCTGATGGACTATTGGTATCCACCCCTGCTGAAACGAATCATCGGAGATTCTGTTCATCTCACCGTGGAGGACAGACATAAGGCGTCTTCTCGGCATCCTCGGCAGGGATTGGTTACTTGTTGAGGCTGGCTCTTCGGAAAATGCTTGCGAGAGATAGATCAGGTCATAAGTGAGCGTTGCGCTGGGTGCGCTACGATGGCCATGCTAATGGTGATGGGGGTCCCCTGACATGGAATACCAGTCCCCTGCCGAGCATACTGCGGCCGCGCCTGCGGCTGGCAGGACCCAGTTGCCGCCAGCCCTCCTACGGAGACGGGCACCAAGACAGATCGGGACATTAGAATGCCCCTGCTGGCAATAAGGTGGCCGGGCCCAAGGGGCACGGATCAATAAAGGGTAGAGGGATGGGCATCGGGGAGGGATTCCTTACACGCTCGGTGGTCGTTAGGAAGACGGCAAGAACAATAGTCGTGAGAAACATGAAGACACATTGCACAATGTTGAGCATGAAACCCGCAGTGTCGGTGGTGGCGGCGACTGAATTTCAAGCGGGTGCATATATATATATATGTGTATATATATAACAGGTACCATGAAGCTGGCGCTGCTAGCGATGGCAGCTGGAGCTCGGGGAGCGGTTGGCGCGAGGATACATGGGACGCTGGTTTTGGAAAGTGGAAGGACGAGCGTGGCAAATGTTCGTGGAACCACGATTCTGATAAGAAATTTCACAAGGGCGACAAGTACGGCGGCGGCTAGAGTAAGAAGTAGCCGAGGTCGTCGCAGGCGGCGCTGACACTTGTGCAAGTGAGCGGTCAACTCTTGGGCGCCCAGCGGGCCTGTCGAATGAATAAAAGGGCCGTCGAGCAACTGGGTCTTTGCCTCTGCAGCGGGAGCCGGCACTACGCGGAGGTGAGCGCTGTCAAATTGTCTGTGACGTTGGCAATCCTGGGCGCGGTGCGCCGAAGGCCCGCACGCGAGGGTTCGTCTGCCTTGGTACCCGACGCGGGGGGAGTGGATGACGTTCATGGTTGCTTGCGTCGTGCTATCACCCATCCGCCTGCTGTTGCGGGCTTCCGGCTCAAGATTTTTTTAACCAATTCAACGATGTGGTAGGCGTGGCTAGGTGCAGAGCGCGCGTTTCACCTCAGCCGTCCGAGAAAAACAAAACAAGGCTCTTGCTTGCTCGCGCCGCCGCAATGTTTTCGATGGGCACGAAGGGACATATCATGCACGAGGTCCTGTCGACGAGATCTCTTCTGAGCTAGGAGATGATGGACGAGGTGCATCACATTGTTCACCGCGGAAGCGAACGACAGAAGACTGTCAGTGGCATGATACGTACGAGCAGAATTCAATCGCGCAGTGGTTTGCCCACGTGGCCACGGGGTCTCCTCCACCGTCTGCGAGCCTACTTGGCGCGGCTTTTGTTTATTATGAAGTTATTATGAAGGCGAGGTCGTCATCAGCACCCTCGTGGGCCCCTCATCTGGGCTACTCCTTCAGCACTCAATGGTCTTTTGATTGCAACGCCATCTGCTGCACTCGGTATTCCCGTACTTGTCACGGAAGTTTATCTTTCGCTGGATGAGTTGCACATCTGATCGTCTCCCGGTTTCGGGTCTCCCGGAACGCTGGTCGCGTAAAAAAAATGTTCGGGCTGTTGTGCAGGTCGTGTAGAACATCTGATGAACAAATACAGAGACGGAGAGGGTGGAGAAGGAGGAAAAGAAGGCGGAGAAGGAGGAAGAGGAAGAGGAGGAGGAGCCTTTTGAGGCCGTCTTAGGGCCTCCCGGGGACTTTTTGGGATGCTGCTGGGGGCTTCTGAGGGACCTCTTGGGATTCTCGTGGAACCTTCTGTGGTCCTCCTGGGGCCGTTTGGGGGCCTCTGGGGCCTCGACGGGGCTTCGTGGCCTTCGGAAGCTGTCTGGGGGCCCTCTCGGGGCAGTCGTGGGTCCCTTTTTTTTTGTTTGCCACTCTGGATTTTTATGAGGCCGTTTTGGGGGCTTCTTGCGGCGACGTGAGGGGCATGCGGGGATATCCCAGATCGCCGAACCCGAACAGGCAAGAAAGTTCAATCCATGGTAGCATTGGAAGCAAATCTACGTCATGGACTTCTTGGAGGTCCTCTGGGCGCGGGGAGGGGGGCAAAAAGGGTATCCGCGCGGACTTGCGACATGTGGAGAAGGACCGCCAGGCGAAGACCAAGAGAGGAGAGGAGCATGACGATGGCAGCGACGAGTACGCTTCTATGGGCCAACCGCCTGACAGCGGTAGTGTACAACAGTCTGCGATTGTCCTCGCTGCCTTATCTTTTACCACGGCGTCGGCCCCCTTTTCCTGCTCATCCCTTCTCACCTCCGCTTCCTTCATTCCTTCGGATCATCTCATTCAGCCGATGTTCTTGTTGACTGATTGCTGCGCTGGGGATAAAACAACTCCCAACGTATTTGGATCTCTGCCAATGCCCAGGCGTACCCGGCCAAGCCATGGCGGACCTACCTCCAGGCGCCCGCGCGCGCGCCCCGCCGCCAGAGCCCCACGCCTTTCCACACCGACTTTCGCAGTTTGACGGTGAAGATAGGGAAGCAAGTTCAAACGTTTTCGATAGTTTCGCGGCTTTCGTCGTTGCAGATGTTTGTACGTAAAGGCGGATGTTGCTCACTCAGCGTCGGGGTTCTGGGGAGGCGCAGCAGCCACATCGATTACGCGTAAGAGTGACCTTTCGCCGAAGTGACCTTCGATGCGGGCCCAATGGGGCCTCACAGTCGCTGAGTGCGATGCCATAGCAGCGGCTTGCCCCCCTGGTGGTGTCTCCAAAGTGTGCTCCCCCTTCGGCCGCGCACTGAAGGTCACTCTTGCTCAGGGTCAATATTGCGTGTAAGACGCCGTAGACCCCAAAGGGTCGGCGGAGTTGGATGCTTGTATAATCTTGTGGTTGAGAGCGTTCGGGCGACAACTATTGCCATTTAGACCACGTAAGAAGCATTGTTGATCATTGACGGTGGCACGCTGAAAAATTGCGGCAACGGACGCAAGTCAACTCAAATCAAGTGGGTGTGGCAGCGTGAGAGATACCCGCTGAGAAAAAATATCCTTCGACTTGATGCGAGTGGCTGAGACAGCGTGGGAATGACCGCCGAAATCAGCAGAACGCAGCACCAGGCAACAGCGTGCAGTGCCGAAATGCATCACACGCCGCGAACGATGGCAATCACCAGCATCAGCCGCAACGGACTCACGCAGCACTGTTTCCCGTTGTGCCTGAATTTGGCTCAGGGTAAGAGGGGAAGTTTGCGGGGGAGAGGCGCTCGCGATCGCAAGACCAGGACTTCTTCGCAGTATGAGGGGGACCGCGAAGAGAAATTGATGTGGGGAATAGGTGCGGCAGGGGGAGTGTGAGAGGGAAGAACCGCTCGCCGCCCCCGATCGGACGGCCCTTCTGTGTAGACCCCAAAGCGGCAGCTTCGCTTGAGACTAGCGTGGGAATAGTCAACCCTGCGGTGTTAAATGTTGTCCTCGGTGCGCGGCTCGGCGCCTCCGTGTTAAACTTGGCCTCGGGATGTGATCATTGCGGCCTTGTCGTGGTGAATGTTGCCCTCCGTTCCGATATAGCGCACACGTGATTCCAGCACAGGGGTCCCGACACAATGACTGGAAGCACGAAGGAGCGCCTTTTCATATTCGCGGACATAACGGGCCTTATGGGAGGGGCGGAGGGGGGCTCAACATAAGGACCCCCCCCGCGTGTGGTTCCTGTACCACAGCGCCTGTACGGATCACAGCAAGCAACATCACAGTGCTCAGCGCAGTATGCACCGCCGCAGTCGCGTGCACCATATCGCCTATGTACTGCGCAGTGCGTACGTGCAGCACCAAGTGCTTTTTCCCCTTGCACCCTCCTTCGAGTATTCTCCTGTGATGCTGTTTGCTGGACGATGAGGGCGCCCGAGCGCCAGACGACGAAGATGACAATGATAACGCCGAAGACGACGATGAGGGCGAGGACGTGGACGGGGTTGACGACGACGAAGACGAAGACGACGTTGACGAGGACGAAGACGAAGACGCCGACGACGAGGACAAGGACGACGACGACGAGGACGACGACGAGGACAAGGACAAGGACGAGGACGAGGACGACGTCGAGGACGACGACGACGACGACGACGACGGTCGCCTCTGGAAGTCTGTGGGGACCTCTGGAGGCCTGAGGGGGTCTCTGGGGACCCCTGGACGCGTTTGGAGACCTTCGAGGCCCTCGGCGACGACGACGAGGATAAGGACGCGGACGACGACAAGGAGGATGAGGACGACGGCAAAGACAGGGACGAGACGAGGGCGGGGACCAGGACGAGGACGACGATGACGACGAAAACGAAGACGAGGGCAAGGACGAGGATGAGGACGATGAAGAGGACGAGACGACCATAGAGACGACGACGACGACGACGACGAGGACGAGGACGACTACGAAGATGACGACGACGACGACGGCGACGACGACGCCGACGGCCGCCTCGGAAGGTCTGAGGAGATCTCTTGAGGCCTAACGCGGTCTCCGGAGATCTTTGGAGGCGTCTGAAGGCACTTCGAGGCCCTCGGCGACGACGACGACGATGACGACGACCGCCACGACGACGAGGAGCTCGAGGGCCACGACGACAACGAGAGGAACGAGGACGAGGACACGGTCAGGGACGATGACGACGATGACGACAACTGAAGCGACGACGACGAAGACGACGACGACGACGACGACGGCGGCGACGACGACGACGATGACGGCGGCGGCGGCACCGACGACGACAACATCGACGGAAGCACCACAGTAGCCTGCGAGTATAACAATTGCAGTGCCGGAGGCGTACAACGGGGTGGAGGTGGGGGGCGTTACATTATGGGGGGGGAGGGGGGCATAGCGCGCAGTATGGCTCCGAGGTTTAAACAAACACAATTCAAAGAATCGAGCGGTTTTCGCTTCGGGATCAGATCAGAGGGGTGCGTTTGGGATCGGGCGGCGCTGAGATCATCAAGCGGGCTCAAAGGATATAGCGGGTTCAAACGGTCAGGCGTGTTGAATGAACAAGGCGTGGTGGTGGGGTATAGCCGCTTTGTGGGCTGAGCTGGCCATGCAGATAATGGCCAGGTGGATTTAATGTGGTTCACGGGAAGCGCGAAACGATTAAGACAGGAGAGGGAGATAGGGAGTTTGAGGGGGAGGCGCCCGCCATAACCGAAGGGAGACCCCTTGGGTGTATGACGAGAAGCGCGAAGTGGTTCTTGCTTGGGAGTAACGGGCACAGGAGGAGCCTCACGGGGAGAACTCGTCGCTAGATCTGATGGGAAACCTTTCGGCGTATGACGGAAAGTTCGAAGGGATTCTCCGTGGGGAAGAAAGACGCAACGGGGATCTTGAGGGGGAGGACCACCCGAATGGTCAGTCTGGGGCTTTTTCTGTATAATCCCAAGTCAGCAGTTCCGCTTGGGACATCCTGAGCAAAATTGGAAAACGGAGCCCTATCGTGCTAAGTGCTGTCATCGGTACGCGACGTGGCGCCGAAGTGTGAAACTTCGTTCCCAGGGCAATCTTTAGCGCGACCCTGTCGTGTTAAGTGTTGTCCCTGGTGCCGATGTGCGCCAAAACTGGTTCCAGGAAGCTTCATGTCCCGACGGGATAACGGGAAGCGCGATTCGATTCTCGCCTGGAAGGAACTATGCGAGTATAGCTTGAGGGGGAGAAACGCTCGGGGTCGCTCAACTTGGACCCTTCTGGTGTAGTCTAAGAGCGAGCGCTACACAAGAGGAGTCTCCCCCACATGCACAATCTAAAGTCGTTGTTTCTGAAAGTTTGCTTGTTGGGCCCAGAGAGGTTTCAACAAAGCCGGGAAAGGGCACGCACCAGGAGGCCTTGAAGATGGCAGGGGAAGCCGACCGTGGCCAACTAGGAAGTTCCAGGAATGGCTTCGCCTCAGTCGCGTCTCGCTTTCGGCGGACGCTGGCGGAATGCTAGCGGAGACTGGTGAACGTAACACATCGGCGGGTCAGCGGAAGATCGGCGGCGGAAGTAACATGTCAGACAGCAGCATTTCTGGTCTCAGGGCTTCCCTTGGCATCGCTCGGACGTGTGCATTTTTTCTCGGCGAGAACCATCGAGGACCATCCTGGACCATCGAGCAAACAAAAGCACGCACGAAACCGAACAATGCACGGGAAATGGACGTCCGAGCGACGGCAAGTTCCGGAATCGGCCGTTTGGGTTCGAGGTTCCGAGTGCTCCAGGCTGGCAGATTGGATCACGAAAGTCTTCTCCTGCAGGCAGGAGCCCAGCGTTTGGGCCGCAGGCGTCGGAGCCCCGCCCAGCGATGCCGAGCCAGCTCGTCCTGAGCGTGCGCGAGCGTGCCACGCCAGGGCTGAACCGCGGCTGTCCGGGTACGACAAAGAACCACAACCACAACTGAGTTTTTTTTTTCGGGAGGGCCCCCTGGGGGAGAGCCCACCGGCCTCGGCAGGAGCGCTTTGGTTGTGGCTGTGGTTGATTCGGCCGTCCTTGGACGCCACACCGACCACAACCAGTACGAAGCTGCCTTCGGTGTGCCGACACTTCTCTGGCATGCGCAAGACATCCCCCAGAGTGTGTCCTCGATGTGGCTGTGGAACTGCTGTCCCCGCAGGATGGCGCACCCCGGACCCTTCGCCGACGCGGACCTCCAACGGTCTGCCACACTGCGGAGCGTCCAGCTGGGAGGTGGCGGACCTCCCCGCGCTCCCCGACGAGGACGCCCGCGACGGCAGCCCTGACCAGATCGAGCGCGTGGGAGGCGCCTGCGCCGATGCCGCTCGCAGCAAGCAGGGCAGCCGCGGGCGTAGCCTTGAGTTGGAGCTGTACATCGACGACGAAGAGCTCACGGAGGTCACCACTCCTCGGGGCCACGACCAGGTGCAGAGGAAGAACCAGTACCCATAATTACCGCTGCCTTCCGCCCGCTTTCCCTTTTTGGGGGTCCCTTGGGAGGCCCTCGTCACCACCGCTGGAGTCGCCCTGCAATCCTGGTCATAACGCACCCCGCGAGAGGTTCGGGGAGTAGCGGTATCGGTAACTTTCGGTTTCCCCACAGGTGGCCTATGGGCCGTCAAAGCGGGGCGTGCTCAGCAGCTTCAGCGGCGACTGCAGCACTTTTGCCCCGAAGGCGCCGCCCCACGTCGCCCAGGCCTGGGCCCGGATCCGCACGCCATCCCCAGAGGCCCGGACGCTGGCGTCGCACGCGCCGCCGCCGCCGCAGGGCATGGCCGAGAAACCCCCGCAGTGGATGCCCTTCCGGCACCACCCGCTGTACCACGACGCACAGCAGGGGGCCACGCCAGACGCGGCCTGGGCCCGCATCCGCACGCCGTCCCCGGAGGCCCGCACGCTGGCGCCGCACGCGCCGTCGGCGTGGTCGCAGGGCATGGCCGAGAAGCCCCCGCAGAGGATGATGCCTTTCTGGCAGCCCTTGGCGGAGGCGCCGCCGCCCCCGCCAGCGCCCGCGGCAGCCCCTGCGCAGCGCGACAGAACGCGCGCCAACGCGCCCAGGACCGCCACGGTCATGGCGAAGCAGAACAAGAAGAAGAAGAGCTGCCAGCCGCCGGCCTGCATGGGCATGCCGAACGAGTTCGTGGGGGTGCTCAGCGTCGGCTCAGTTGGCCACCCATACTCCTGCCAGGACGCAAAGCAGAACAAAACACACGAGCGCAAACTGTTGGTGTTCCGCGCGGATTTCCCGGAGCTGCGCTGGACCCCCCTGGCGGTGCAAGAGACGCCGCCCCCGGCGCGCTCCGCGCTCCTGGGTGGGGGCGGGTCCAGCACAGACTTCGCAATCCGCGTGGACCTTTGAAAGTGTATGTTCATGTGGTCATAGGACCCTTGCAAGTATGTGCGGAAGACCCGCGGGTGCAAGGACGGGGCGGATTGCAGCCATTGCCACGTGTGTGTCTGGAACCGCTACGAGGCAAGCCGGGCGACGGGCATGAGGAATCAATTGGCCCTGGTTGCGAGGTGA